CCAATTCAACAATTGGTACTTGTGTAATTCGGCAACAAAGATTAGGTTCATTATGTTGTGCAACTATTATATATCCATTTTCACAATTAACAGAAACTCTCAAAGTAAATACTCCCCTTCTCCCTCCTTTCCACTACTAATCAATTTTGGTTTCTATATATCTGCCTATAATTAGAATCATACAATATTTGTCATTTTGTTACAGCTTTAGTCAGCAAAATGTTTTCCGGGTTCCTATGTGTGTAGTATTTACTCTTTATGGATGAGTAGTATTCCACCATATGCATATACCACATTTTGCTTATTCATTAATCTGTTAATTGATGTTTAGACCGTTTCCACCTTTGGGCTATTGAACAGTGAACAGTGTTGCAATGAGCTTTCATAGCTGTATAATGTCCATTAAGGACTTTGGAGAGCAGGTTTAACATCCCTGTCACATAACCCAGATTGGCTTATGGTATGGATGAATACGGGCCTAGAGAGGTGAGGGGACTGATTTAAGGTCATACAGTGCCGGGAGTCCTGCTCTCCACGGGGGTCGTGGGACACGAGCGAATACGCAGAAATGTCGGATGAAGAAATAAGTACAATTCGTGAGGCTTTTCAGCTTGTAGGGCTCTCTGGCTATTCTCTCCAGCTTCTTCTGTCTGCCGAACAAGTTTTTATTTTTTATACTTCCACTACACAGTACATGCATTGACACTTTTATCATTTCTTGAATTATTACACAGTTAGTCTTGCACCTGGTCCTTAGACAATCTTGACAAAAATACTTCTATGATGTTCAGACTGACCTTCATCTTCTTGCACCTGGTCCTTAGACAACCTTGACAAAAATGCTTCTATGATGTTCAGACTGACCTTCATCTCCTTGCCCAGCATGTGATTAAACTGTTTGTTCTTGTTTCTACTAAAAGATTATAAACTTTCTATCCTACATAATGTGCTATTATTTTCATAATAAAGGTATTCATTAAATCACTTAAGAGCTATGTGGCATAAAGCCCAATTTAGTTATTAGCTGCAAGAAATGTAGATTATTAAGTCAAAACTATTCTTCATTTAAGTTCCTTATTGTCTACTTGTTTA